AAGTTCATGTTAATTGGACTCAAGTCTAGGTTTCTATTTGATTCACACTACAAGAACAACAAAGAAAAATTGGTTAAAATCCCACATTGACTGATAACATAATTAGCAGTAATTACCAATAAAAATCATAATCATATTCCAACTTTGAAAAGATTGGGAATTATGTAGTAAAAGATGATATTTAGGGCTAGAACCTTTAGCTCCTAAAGATATAAAGATGAGAAACCTGTGGCTGAAGCTTCTTGTCTAAAATGATTTCTCGATAATCAAAAATCAGAGTAAAAGTGGTGCCAGCACTCCACTTTACTATGTCTCAAGCAATCTATGCAGTCTCAAGCAAAAGAACTAAGTTTTCAGTCGGGCAAGATCCCACATCATAATAATTGCTCTACAGTAAACTGATAACAATATTAATCACCTTTCAAAAAGCAAAGCACTCCTTGGCTACGCTAGGAACATGCTTGCTACACCGTATTGAACAAAATTGGGCAATACAATAAACAATATTTTAACTTTTTATTTTTACTCATAATGTCCAAACCAGTTCTGGATGGGTATCAAGCGTACCCAATATTTTCACAAGTAGACTTAAGTTCAAGCAGGTGTGTTCACAATTCCACTACAAACATTTTCTAGATGCATTAGGACATGTTCATCTAAATTAATCCAACACGAATAGAAACAAGCTTTTGAAACTTGATCGAAATGTTCCTGCTTATTTACCTTCACAATTGAATTTAACCATATACCCATGCTTAGAGTTGGTACAGTTTATGCAGATTCATATTATTTTCCTTTAGTATTTTACTTTTAGTATTTAGAAGGACCAAAATACTCATACTTAAGTAACTACAAAAATGAAATTGAAATACCCTTTAAAGAATAAAACAACTGAGAGTAAACCGATTCTGTCAATAAACAGAATTGGTTACAAAGAGGAGCATATAGGTAGGTAGAAGGGTCCATTTGGAAGGCAGGAAAAATTTGAGTAGTTGAGTGTGTGGAGAGGAATATGTTGGAAACAATCAGGAAATAGACAGAACAAATAATGCAACGCACTTATAAACAGAATACTATTATTGCAATATACAGATTGA